CCATAGACCCCACCTTCAAAATCGGGAAAACAATGGAAGATGTGGTAGTGGGTGTCTCGCGACAAGATCTGGCGAATTCTAACCATATAACTCCACTCCCACTTTGCAGATTCTAGTCGTTGCACAAACGGGATGAATGAGTCTCCTGGGGGAGAGGCTGCACTCATTAGGGGAGGTAAATGAATCACATACCAAGCCATCAGATAAGTGTAAGGCAATGGTATTCGGGGATTGGGAGTCCTAAAAGTCTTGTTGTCGCCAGACTCTACCCTTGTAACATCAATAAAATCCACGGCCAACTCATGCAACCCACTCTGCAAGCAACCTACGATGGCGTAAAGCAAATTCAATGACCTCCCATGCGCTAAAAGAACAGCTGGAAAAGAACAGCTGGGTAAATCACCTCAACAGCAAGAGTGTCAATTGGCCTGGTGGGGACGACACACCGCTTAAGCCATAGCATCAGAAACCCTATCAATAGTGCTGTGTTTGAAATAGGAATCTGAGCATAATTGTGGAAGCTTTCAAACTCCGTATGAGCTGGGAAAATGTCTTCCTTGGCCTCGTTCGTATAATGAGAGGTAGTAGCATCGATTCGAGCTTGAATCTCCTCCAGAATGCTTGCAGACAATCTGGTCACTGAAACTCCCTTATTGGTCAGGTTCTGGAACAAATACTCTGCCCAAGACACTTGTTTGATGCCGCCTCCTCGAGCCCCTGTCTGCTGCATATAAATGTGGAAGTGACACATGACTTCCCAAAGAGTAGAATAAACTTCAAGGCTGGTTTTCCTCAAAATTTTGAGTTCCGTTGACCCCGAAACAAATTCTTCATATGGCAGATCCCCGAGAAGAAGATCGAAGATTTCATGCATTTCGTGAAGAGAGAAGCCTAACTCCCCCACCGGGGTGAAGAAGGTACAGGTTTCGGAATTGTATCTCTCCAATATAGAGAAGAAATGAAAGTGGCTCTAGACGATCCCGAACTTAGTAGCCCGTACCGGAATCTTCAGGCCAGCTCGAATAAGAGGTGCCTCCAACTCCTCCAGAACAAAGTTAGTCATCCGGGTCCACCACCCTGTCACCGGAGAATGAACCCAGCCAGGAGTTCTAAATCCTTGTGTGGAAAATTCTCCCTTCTTCGCCATAAACTTCTTGACAAAGGTATTTGCCGGGCTGGCCACTTCACCGACTGGGTATTCTTTGGTGAACAAGCATGGCCGTAAGGCCATCACTTGTCTGTTATAACCAACTATTCGGACCCCTTGAAAAGTTAAGTTTCCAAGAACAACTCCATCCTGATCCTTAACAAGATTCCAATCCATACGCCTTGGGATGGAGGCGCACTGAAAATATGATATGGGGAACATTCTCTCCATATTGGGCAAGAAAAGGTTACGGTCTCCAACCTTCCTTAGCCATTTGTAGTCCCCGTCATAAGCGACACCTGCTTCAAAGTCAACAAAATCCCCGAAGAGGAATCCTAGTTTGATTATCGGTTTACGGCTCAGGTTCTCAAGCTTAGCATCCGTAACCAATATTCTAAGAGTTTCAGGAGAAGCTTGGGTGATCAGCTCCACACGGCTCTTCTCAGTAATCCTGAAAACCGGGAGTTCTTGGCGCAGGTTGAATGTCATGTTTTGATTTACGCCACCTTCGTGCCTAAAATGATGGCGAAAAGGGAGAGGCTCGCTGGTATGAAACACTGCAAAACAAAGAAAAGAGTCAAACAGCGCAAAGGCAAAATCAGACGCGGAGGTCGAACCCTGCGTCGAACAAATCAGACGCAGAGGTCGAACCCCGCGTTGAAAAGTCAGACGTAGAGGTCGAACCCCACGTCGAAAAGTCAGACGCAGAGGTTGAACCCCATGTCAAAAAGTCAGACGCAGAGGTTGAACTTCGCGTCGAACAAATGAGACGCAGAGTTCGAACCCCGCATCGAAAAAAAAACCAAATGACAGAGTCCTAGCCTCGTGTTTTTGAAACAAGTTTCCTCGTTGATCCAAAGATCAGAACTTGCCACAACAAGTTTAATGACTACGAGGGTCGTACTCACCGCCCATCAAAGGAAGTTGAGGCGGCATGCCCGCCTGAGCCACAGCATCGCTGGCCGACGCTGAAAGGACGAGAGGCAGATTTCTTCTTGGGTCCCATGGAGTTCAGTCGATGAAGAAGAAGAACTACTTTCGCTGGAGATGAAAACGAAATTTTTCGTTGGAAATTTGAGAAAAATCTAAAGAAGAGTCGAATGACTCTTGATTTGACCCTCAGCGGTCTATTTATAGACAGCTGTGAGCTGTCAAATCAGAACAGGATTCTAGGCTAGAATCCCACCCAAACGCGATCTCAGCGTTCGAGTTGGTTGGACTTCCAAACGCGGAACTCACCCACGCGTTCTAATCCTCAAGCGCAGAGTTCGTCCACGTGTTTCAATTCTTAAACACGGAATTCATCTATGCGTTTTGACCGCCACAATAGCAGCATCTCGACAACCAAGGCTACGGTACAGCTCCAAATAAATAAAAGAGGAGCTAACAGCAGTCATCAAGGTGACCAAAGCCGAGAAGAAAAGACGAATCCGTTGTGGAGTCTATTGGATGAGTACAAACATATTACAATCAGCAATGCTAAAACCGTCTAACTCGATCTGGCGCACAACTCATTCTTCTAAGTGGCTAAACATTCCCACTAAGATTAATGAAACCAAGAATCGCGCACAACTCATTCTTCTAAATTGCTTAACATTCCCACAAAGATTAATGAAGACACGATCTGACACGTAACTCATTCTTCTAAGTGGCTTAACATCCCAACAAAGATTAATGAATATAGGAGCTGCGCACAACTCATTCTTCTAAATGGCTTAACATTCCCACCAAGATCAAGGAAGCAGAAAGCTGCATTTCGAGTGTTCATCAATGCCTACAAGAATTCTCTGGAGAAAAGAATACATCTCATTGCAGATTGAGTGGAGTATCCGAAGGATCCAAACAAAATCCGAGAAACACACTCCGTCACAGATTGAGTGGAGTATCTGAAGGATCCAAACAAAATCCGATGAATACACCTCATCGCAGATCAAGTGGAGTATCTCAAAGACCCAGACAAGATCATCGTCATCATCTCTCTTGTTTAGGTCATCAGCAATGACTTGGGCTTTAGCTTGTTTGACTAAGTTCATTGTCATCAAGACTCCAACAACCAGGGTCGCGGTGTTTTCAAATCAGACGGAGTGAACAACCAATCAACTAAATTTTGGGATCCAAAGTATTCCAAAAATTCGTCCCAGTCAACCGCGAACTTTTGAAAACTTTGGAGGGGGTTCTGTAGGCTGTCTAAAAATCACAATAGATAGATAATCCCCATCAAGCTTCAATGATGAAAGTTACAATCAGATTACTTTCATGTCGACAAATGAAAACTACAAATGGAGGACTTTTCACATAGATCGAGAAGAGTTATAATTCAACGACACTTCCGACAACTGATGAAAAAGATCGAGAAGAGTTATAATTCAACGACACTTCCGACAACTGATGAAAACTCTATTCAGTGGTCTTCACAATCAACAGTGAGAGTTATGATGAAAACTCTATTCAGTGGTCTTCACAATCAACAGTGAGAGTTACAATCTAACGACTTTCACACCCTACAACAGCTAAAGTGAGGATTACTGAATAATTGTCCTTGCAATGTTCTACAGAAGAGGTTAGAAGTCAACCAACCCCTTCCTAAAACACGGAACTCATCCTCGCGTTACAATTCTTAAAACGCAAGCGACCCCCGCATTTCTAAGCAACATCAGAAGAAATGCGAGCGGCCCTCGTGTTTTTGACATTCAGTCCACACCCAACCCCGCGTCTCAATTCTAAGTCGTGAAGTTAGGATCCTGAATGCCAAATTAGGCGTTTGACTCATTCAAACATGAGTCAAACGGTTCCAGAACCGTTTTCCCCACGATCTGAGGAAATCACGCCCACTTAGGAGCGGATTTAAAGGGTAGTTACAACCTCTTATCCACCTATAAAACCTCAACAAACTCAACCGAATAAGAGGTTGGATTTTTTAGCATCTAAACCGCACGAGGGGGTTCGGAGGTTCGGATTTTGGGAGGTTAAAGATTTGGGGATCAAAACCGCATAAGGTTGGATTTTTCTGGAGATAGGAGGGGCGAATTCTTTGGAGATAGAAGATTTAAATAGGATTCAGAAGATCAAATCTCGGAGAATCCTTCAGCAACAGAAAATCTGTCTGGCTATTAACCGAATGTTCAGTTTTAACAACTTTATTTACAGAGTTCTAACTCGTTCTGAGTTTTAAAACTTGCTAAGAGTTATTCCTCAAACTTATCACAAAAGTTTATTGTTCCCGCGGGATAAAAGAAGGTCGGATCGTTAACAGAGAGCGAATTCGACACAAGCATTCAAAGGAGGCACTCCATCGCTACCAAGAAGAACCCAGTTTTAAACAAAAAGGAGAATCAAATTCGTTCTCCTCTCTTTTGTAATCGAATTGTAATTGAGATCGAAGGAATACAAGTCAATTTTCTTTCATTCTTTTTATTACAAATTTTTCTACAAATAGTTTTTGCCAAAAATCATTCTGGCGCTTAGTTTGATGCTCAAAATTAGATTTTTTTTTTATTCCTTTTTTTCCTTTATTTGCACGGAATGGAATCTTAAGGGTTGATCGATAAAAAAAATTCTCAACCAAGTAATTGTATAAAGTCTGCGCAAGAAAAGATATTGAGGACTTGATTGGCGTTAACCATTGATTGGATTTTTCTTTTGAACTTCAGTTAAGCCCGATTGTTGAAGCTAAGCAATTACATTTGAAGTACATAGGATAGCCAATTAGGCCTCATTTTGGTGTCTATTATTAATAATTATGGGATGAATTCTAAAAATTACTTGACATCCTGGAATTGGAATGCTCCATTCAAGGTGGAAGTCTTTTCATACGCAATGAGTTAAAATTTGCATCCTGTTCGATTTTATGCAGGGAAAGAAGCTGGTTTTGTTACCAACAACTCAACCAAATCCAGGAGGCAATATGCAAAGAAATTCCTTGCTCTTGGGATTGATGCCAGTGAGGTGATGTTTATTTGAAATCTTTTTGTTAGCATCTCCAAAATTAAGTGGCCACCACAATTTTGATCTGATATATATATTTATTCATAAAACTGGCAAGATGAGATCTTCTCATCATCATTTGCTGTCGCGATGTTCTTGAAGCTGAACAAATTCCCTTATGGTAAGAAGGTAATATCTTCATCGATATTGAAGTCATTTGGTCCTCAGGTTTAGTTTGTTTATCTTTATTGGTTTTATTCATTTTTATGGTTTCCATACTTAATTTAGGGTTCTAATGAGTTCTTGAAAGGATATGATGATTGTTTGCCAACCCTAAAAATTTGGGATTAAAGTTTTGTAAAGTCAGTTCCTTTTTAAGATTTTATTTTAGGGTTTTAGCCTTAAAATTTTCATATTTATAAGTTAGTCCCTTAAATCATAGAAATTTTTATTTCCCGCCAATTCATATAATTACGCCAAAACTTTTATAACTTTCCCATTGGTTTCATGATTAATAAGCAAATGCATATATAACATGTATTATTAGAATCAAACATACATTTGGTTAAATTCTATTAAAAGTTATCGAATCAAATTGTTAATGAACTATCGAATCGAACATATTTTTGGTTAGATTCTATTCATTCATAAGCCGAACACTAAAAATTATTTGTTTAGTACTAAATGAACTATCGAAATAAACTTCTGCGAATATCTGGACGAATAATAACCGAACTGTTTATTAATTGTTCGGTTCACTTCCACCCATATACTTCATATTTAAAGCAGAATAATTTATTTTGGTAACATGTTAAATATTTGCAGAAAATCTTTTAGAAGTCATGCTTTGCACGGGTCTAAATACTAGTGTGTGTGTGTGTGTGTGTAGATTAATAGGTATCCTTATCATAGGAGGGGATTTACTCCTTAACGCCTATGTCGCACAATCCCCACCATCCTCATAAAGTAGGAGAGAGTGTGTGAGTTGGTGGGGATTTGTGCCTACTTTATGAGGATTGTGAAGATTGTGCCATATAGGCGACAAGGAGGGAAATCTCTCCTATCACAAGGATACCCATAGCGCTCCCGGTGTGCGTTGTAAGGGCTTTTGTGAAAAAAAAAACGCCTGCGATTCTGAATAAGAGCGCTTTCTCTCTCTCCCTCCCTCTCTAGCTAAAACTCTCATATCCCCAAATTATAGAAGAATCCCTCTTCCCCCTCAAAACCCTCCTTCCTCCCTCTCTCGATCTCTCTCCCGTTGTCGGCAGATCCTCCTCCACGAGCTCCAGTCCCCCATACTCCCCCGAAACCGCTATCGCCCCCCGACTCTCCCCTATTTTTGCTCCAGCTTTAGAAAAGTATGAGCGTTACAAAAGAATAAGGAAATGAGGGGATTGTAATTCTGCCTGTGGCAGTGAACTATGTTGATTTCACTATAGCGATTTCTCTCACAGGTAAAATTTCAAAATCCCTCTCTCGATCCCTCTTAATTAAGAAAAAAATCAACAAACATAGTCATAAAAAGGCTTGTTTACTTGGTATGGATTTTGGTCTTAAACTTCTTGCTTAGTATGGATTTTAAGTAATTGATTGTTGTTGATTTATTAATTTTTATGGGAGCTTTATGAAAAAGAGTAGTGTGGTGTGGAAGATTGGAAAAAGATATGGAGAAGATTTGTATGCAGAAAGTTACCAAGAAAGAAAGGATTACAAGAAGCCTAAGTGGTTTATTTCCATATTTTCTTCCTTTTTAAATAAACCTTAGATCCTATGTCAACAAGAACAAAACTATACAGTAGGAATTTTTATCAGCCTAATTCTAGGTCATATGCTTTATTTTTTTATTAATTCGTATTCACCTGGTTAATAATGATTTTTAACCCTATTTCTTGAGTATTTGATAGTAAATTTTTTTTTTAAATCTGCTGTTGAACTAAATGATTCACGTATTTGATAGTAATATTTGTCAATTTGTCAATTTGAAGTATTTCAAATATTTGTCCAAATGAAAATTTGAAGTATGCCAATTTGTCAATTTGAATTAGGACTTTTTTCCAATACACTGTAAAATAATTACTATCAAAATAATTATTTTACAGTGTATTGGAAAAAAGTCCTACTTCAATGCAACAAAGTTGAAGACATCGAAGTCCTGCATATTGGGTGACATCATGCATGAGAGTTGATGACAAGAGGAAACTAATTGTTCCTCTATGTTATGGGTAAGTAAAGAATTGTTACATTTTGTTAAGATTGGAATGTTTTATTATTGCCTTCTTTTCATAATCTTACTAATCTTATTTCTTTTGTTATTTTAGATTTGAGCAGAAAAAGGTTGGACCTATAAGTATCAACTCATGTGTGCTGTTGAGCTTCTAAGCGCTTTTCGTCAAGCATCTCGAGTTCTTCGAGATGTTTCTGATGCTGTTCTTCGGTTGTTAACTCTGTTGTAAGAGCGATCCGAAGAGATGGAATTTAAATTCTAATGGAAGAATGACTTCACACCTGTATACCAAAGAATATAGGGTCGATCCTGTCAGCGTGCGGACCATGGTATGATAGGCCCATAGGACTGCGACGAGCTTATCATCCTAATCTCGTTTATTAGTTTTCACGAGTTTTGATAAAAGCTTTATGATAGTCTTGTTAAAGGCCTCTGCTAACCCGTTTGCTGTGGGATAGTAAGCTGTCGATGAGACTTCTTGAATTTTGTACTTCTCACAAAATTTGATGAAGGCGTTACTGACAAACTAGGGCCCATTGTCGTGTATGATTCACCTTGGGACACCATATCAGTAGATAATATGGTGCTTGATGAACGCAATCACATTGCTCGTCTTTGCTTCTTTGAGCGGAATCGCTTCAGCCCATTTGGAGAAGTAATCTGTAATCGCTAGGATGAACCAATCACATTTGATGGACGAGGGAAAAATAGGACCAATAATGTCCATTCCCCAAGTTTTTAAAGGCCATGACATGGATGAAGGGTGCAGATGCTCCGGGGGTTGGTGCATATAATTCGTGTGTATTTGACATGCATGACACTTCTGTGCGTACGTGACTGTATCTTTTATCATGGTGGGCCAGAAATATCTCATTCTTCTGATGCAGTCATAAAGTTTGGTGCCAGGTTGGCGTGCGCCACAAACTCCTTCGTGTGTTTCCTTAAGTACCTCTTCAGCTTCTTTAGTCGATAAGCAACGTAGTAACAAACCATCCTACCCCCAACGATATAATATTCGACTCTCTGTATTATAGTAGAACCTTGGTGCTCTTCGTCAGATTGAGTCCCTTTCTTTCACGTCTTCTGGTAAAATCACATGTAAGACATAATCAATGATAGGGAAACGCCAATCTCATGGCTCGAACTCAACTTGTGTTGAATGTACTTCTTTAGTATCCTCTTCTCCGTCGTCTACCTCGTAGATTGGTACGAAGAGTTGGTGAGTTCTTACCTTAACGAATTGTTTCGTTTCTAGAGGCTGTGCCAGAGATACTGTTAATGCTGCTAATGCGTCCGCGTAGACACTCCGTAAGCATGGAATGTATTCGATAAAGAATCCTTCAAACGATTCCGCCATCTCAACGGCCATCTTATGGTAGGGTATCAAATCCTGTTTTCTAACCTCATACTCTCCTTGAATCTGTTTAACTACCAGTTGAGAGTCACCGAAAGCTTCAAGGTACTCGATCCCTAGCTCTTTTGCAAAGATGAGTCTTACAAGCAGCGCGTTATACTCGGCTATGTTGTTTGAGCACGGGTCGGTCAGCGAGTAGGCTCGAGGCATCACATGTTTTCCTGGGGGAACTAAGACAACTCCAACTCCGGAGGAAATCTTAGAACATCCAAGAGCACTTGCTACATTAGTTGCTCGAGAAGCACCGTCGAAGTACAAACGTCATACCTATTGATGGGAAGTTACGTTGGCTTCGTGGGTTTCATCTGGCAGATCGTCGTATACTTCGGCGGTATCTGTAGTTAGGTTAGCTGCTAGGAGATCACAAATAGCTTGTCCTTTAACCGAATTTTGTTGTTTAAAGTGTAGGTCGTATTGGGACAGAAGCAGGGCCCACTTTACTAACTACTAATTCATGAAAACGGGTTGCGTCATGAATACTCGGACTGGGTTAACATTGGAAATAACATAAATAGTCTGTCCTACTAAGTAGTGTCACATCTTTTGAATCGCGAATACCAATGCGAGACACTCCCTTTCAATTATTGGATACCGGGATTCGGTACCTTCAAGGGTCCAGTTCAAGTAATATACTGTTGGACCCTAGAGGGGGGGTGATTAGGGTCAAGAGGCTCTAATATGCAATATAAATTCAGCACAAGCAAAACACAAAACAAAATTGCGATAAAAGTAAGAGAGATAGGGTTAGGAGTTCGTTATCCTTGACGCGCGATGTGTTAACGAGGTTCGGCCCTCTGGCCTACGTCCCCGCTCCCCACTCTCGAGGAGAAATCCACTACACACCCGGTTTGGAAGCCGGAACTTCGTCTACACAGCGATCTCCACAGATCTCTCTCACTACACAGTTTGATCTCAACAGATCACACCCTCACAGTAGATCTTACACAAGATCTCACCCTCACAGCAGAAGAAAAGATGCAAGACTCTCTCTTTACACAGCCCCTATGGCAAAGAGAAAGGTTACTGAAGCTGGGAAGTGAATCACACACAAAAACACAGAGAAAAACAGATTTGAAAATTTTCTCAGGAAAACAGAGCTCTCTGGTTTTTGCAAACGTTAGGGCTTAGGAAGAAGAAGCGGTCTGGGGGGGTTTTTATAAAAGAGTTTAAACCAATTAAAAACAAAAACCCAATCTTCTTATTTAGGAAGATAATCTTCTTTTCAGACTCTCAGCTCAGACTGTGCCAAACACTATTAAGTGAAAGCACAGCGAACGAGGCAAAAACCGACCGTTTAAAAAAAGTCGCGGCTGACCAAAGACACAAATCGGTTGACCGAAGGGAATTTCGATCGACCGAAAAAATACTTCGGTCGACCGACCGAAAATTTCGGTTGACCGCTAACAACCTAGAAAACTTGGAAATCAAGCAGAGATACCGTCGGTCGACCGGCGCGGTCGACCGATTTGAAAGTCGAGATTTCGGTCGACCGTACCGGTCGACCGACGACCTCTCTGGAAAATAGTAAGGGATAGCCATGAGAGCGGTCGACCGGACCGGTCGACCGCTTTCTGATATATTGCAGAAAACAGTTTTTTGACAACCTTGAAATATTTGCAAAATATTTATTTGACCTCTGAAAAATCTGAAACTTTGTAAAATGTTTTTAATACTAAAAACAAACTGTTTAGAAAAGGAATTTTGCAGATAGGTCCTCATACTTATGAAAAATAGTATTTTGTGAAAAACACTTAAAAACATTCAAGTAAACTCAGTAACTCTTTGGCCTACATTCTAGCACTAGAGAGAGAAACAAAAGAAAGCTAATATCCTCATATATAAAGAACAATACTTGAGCTTTGATATAGCTTGAATCGGATGAAGCTTGTATTCGAATTTGTCGTTCTTAAAATAACGTTGCTTCATCTCTTGGCCTCCACCTCCTTTGGATATCTTCGTTGTAGCGTATATTCCATCCATCCTCCGTTCATGGCACTAACGATCTTGATAAATAAATTTACTACATTTTCACTCAATAAGCTATTAGTACCGATAATGGTGGTTGTAAAACATCATCAAAACATAAGGGCTAACAATCTCCCCCTTTTTGATGATAACAACCAACCATTATATAAGAGCAAAAATAAAATAGCTTATAGATAGGTGCTCCCCCTATCTATGAGCTCCCCCTAAATATATGCAACAAATGAGGAGATTTCTCTCCCCCTTTGTCACCATCAAAAATGGGGAAAGAAATGCAAAATGCAAGATGCAACTAAACAAGCAAGCAATGTAGAACTTTCACATAGTGCATAAGCCCAAACCATTTCTTATGCGACAAAAATCATCCTCTCCAAGAGGCTTAGTAAATATATCCGCTAGTTGAGATTTTGTGTCAACAAACACTAGGGATACATCTTGTCGCTCTACATGATCGCGTAAGAAATGATGGCGTACATCAATATGTTTAGTTCTAGAATGCAAAACCGAATTTTTGGAAATATTTATAGCACTTGTGTTATCACAAAAGATTTTAATATTTTGAAAATTCAAATCATAGTCAACTAAACTTTGTTTCATCCATAAAACTTGAGCACAACATAAGCCGGCGGCAATGTATTCCGCTTCCGTAGTGGACAATGCAACACAATTTTGTTTCTTGGAAGCCCAAGAAACAAGGGAATTTCCTAAGAATTGGCATGTTCCACTAGTACTCTTGCGATCTACCTTACATCCGGCAAAGTCGGCATCACAAAAACCATATAAATCAAAAGAAGTGCTTCTTGGATAAAATAAACCAAGGTTAAAAGTTCCATTAACATACTTAATGATCCTTTTAACCGCAATTAAATGAGATGCTTTAGGAGAAGCTTGAAAACGTGCACATGCACACACACTAAACATAATATCGGGCCTACTAGCGGTAAGATAAAGAAGACTACCTATCATACATCGGTATAGTTTTTGGTCCACATCTTCACCACTCTCATCCGCATCAAGCTTAACACTAGTACTCATGGGAGTAGGCGCATGCTTAGAATTCTCCAACTTGAATTTCTTCACCAATTCCTTCGCATACTTGCTTTGTGAAATGAAGATCCCATCCTTAGTTTGCTTGACTTGGAGCCCGAGAAAGAATGTAAGCTCTCCCATCATACTCATCTCAAAGTGATCCTGCATTACTTTAGAAAATTCCTTGCACAAGGATTCATTAGTAGCACCGAAAATGATGTCATCCACATATATTTGAACTAAAATGAAATCATTTTTCCTTTTTCTCACAAAAAGTGTGTTATCAATTGTTCCTTTTGAAAAACCATTTTCAACAAGAAAACTAGAGAGGCGAGCATACCAAGCCCTAGGAGCTTGTTTCAACCCATATAATGCTTTTTGTACCCGGTATACATGATTTGGAAAGGCATGATCTATAAATTCGGGGGGTTGCTCAACATACACTTCCTCTTCTATAAAACTATTTAAGAAGGCACTTTTAACATCCATTTGAAATAGTTTACAATTTTTAAAACTAGCAAATGCCAAAAACATCCTAATAGATTCCAACCTTGCAACGGTACAAAGGTTTCATCATAGTCTATGCCCTCCTCTTGATTGTATCCTTGGGCAACCAAACGAGCTTTATTTCTAGTTACAATGCCATGTTCATCAAGTTTGTTTCTAAAAACCCATTTTGTACCAATAACACTAGCATTGTTAGG